ACATTCCTAACTTCTCTGGCGTATCGAATGTAAACAAATGACGTCATATGTTAAGAAATGGACGAGGTCCGACAATTTATTTATTAAAGACATTTTTATTTATGTTTAACGTTGTTATTTTTATATATACATATATTTATATAAATATATATATATTTATCAGTCTGCTCCTTCCTTCATTCCTTTCTATCTATCTATCCCATTTTGTTCATATCTCTTTCTCTCTCTCTCTCTCCCTCTCTCTCTCTCTCTCTCTCTCTATATATATATATATATATATATATATATATTTATCAGTCTGCTCCTTCCTTCATTCCTTTCTATCTATCTATCCCATTTTGTTCATATCTCTCTCTCTCTCTCTCTCTATCTATATATATATATATATATATATATATATATGTCTTCCTTCATTCCTTTCTATCTATCCCATTTTGTTCATATCATATCTCATTCGGTATTTATCTATCTGTATATCTATCTATCTCTATCTATCATTCTGTTCATCTATCTATTTATCTATCTATCTATCTATTTATCTATATATATCTGTTCATCTATATATATATATATATATATATATATATATATATATATATATATTCATATATATATATATATATATATATATATATATATATATATATATCATACTTATTATAAAACTCAGGTTGTGTGTGTGTCTGTACGTTTATATATTGGATCGGATTTCCTACATTTTCAACCGATTTCAACAAAACTTCACAGGACTACGTAAAATGACCTTGCGGTGGTTCTGACAGCGCCAAAAATTGGAAAAACACAATTGTTTTTGCACAAAATCAATTTGAAAACACAAAGGCATCGCGAGAATGAAAGGGGGACAACTCTTATACTTATAAAACCCAGGTTGTGTGTGTGTGTGTGTGTGTGTGTGTGTGTGTGTGTGTGTGTGTGTGTGTGTGTGTTCGTTCGTTTATATATGGGATCGGATTTCCTACATTTTTCAACCGATTTCAACAAAAACTTCACTTTTTTTTGGCAGTAGTGTTTCTTATTGTCTTACACTTTTTCTTTATTTTTACATTCAGAATGCTTTCAAAATTCCATTTACAAGACAATTGTTTATAATAAAATTCTATTCAATCGGTAGACTCATAACGATTGAAAACAATGTTTTTGTTTCAGTTTGGGTTTGACCAATTCGTAAAAAAACAAGAAAAAAACAAAACAAAAAACAAAACAAAAAACTAATTAAGATATGCGTGTCCGTCAACCTGAAACAATAATCTTTGTTAATTTTATTTTTCAGTCTTTATGATGGTCGATACTTGATCTATCTCTTACTGTTACATCCCCGGGCAACGCCGGGCTCTATTGATAGTATATATATATATATATATATATATATATATATATATATATATATATATATATATATAAATTTCCAAGAGGATAGAAACCATTGTCGAAAGACATAGTAAGAATATAATAAAAAGGCTCAACCACATGGTTATAATTTATTAAATTGGAATCATAATCACGACCCAATTCATCAGACCTACAAATTCAAAAAGGTCTGATGAATTGGATCGTGATTATGTAATAAATTATAACCATGGAATATTAGTGTTTGAGCTTTTTTATTTTATATATATATATATAGTTTATGCAAATTTACGTAATCCGTATGGGTAGACCTGAGGAGGTTGATATCCAGAGAGCTCAATGTAAAATTCAGAGCATATATGTTTGAATAAAAGACAGACCACGTTAAGATTCCATGTAATAAGCTATTTCACCATAACCCCTTTAACAGGGTTCTGGATCATCAGACTTTACTTCCAAAAGCTGAAATGAAAATGAAAAGAAATTCACACGTTTTTACGGACCTCATCAAGTATACGCAAAGTTAACGAAGTGAGGAAGTGATGTGGGAGAGGATATGAGTGTGTCATATGTATCATTTTAGTTTCCTATTTTAACCCCAGTGTGTCGGCTGGATGTTGCTCAAATTTAACGCGTCTCGTCTCTAGATAAAGGTGGTTAAGGGGTGAGCGATAAGGACTACATTAAAGGGAGACGTTACAATAACCCCAATAAATTACACGACAGGTTTCATTCAAATTCTTAGACGCTGTCAGTTCGCGTTATTTTAACGTGCATATTTGGGAGGTTACGGTTTGATAAATATCTAAATTTTCAAACAATCTACGAAGAAATTTATTTGAAATTCGGTGGAGTTTTTGGTATTTTCTATGAAGCCGTCGATTGGAAAAATCCGTAGACAGAACATTGAAAGAGCAATCCAATTTATATTTAGTACTTTTTTCCACTAAAACTTTTATCTTATAGCTTGTTAGGTTGACATTTATTCGTTTGATTTTTGTTCATTAAATAAACTCGTGATTGTTTTTGATTTTTGTTCATTAAGTAAACTCGTGGTTGTTTTTATGTATCCAGTTATCAACAGTTATTCCCATTTAAATAATTTTATTTTCCACATTGGGGTAGTATCTTTCAATCTCAATTAAAATACTAATCTAAACTTTCCTTCGTGCTATTTAAAATTCACTTCAATTGGAGAATATTAGAGGAGAAATTTGGAAGAGATGTCACTAGCCGAAAATTAGGCCCTTCTTTTACAATTTCTTATCTACACATGTCTTAAACCCCTATTTGTAACCACATCCCTATATCGTCTTATATGCCTATGAGTTCCTATATACACCTACACACACATTCATCCGAAACGATATATGTATATTTCCATCTTTACACATATACACCTGCAGAGAAAACGCACATCCAAATGTCTCCATACCTATCTCCATGTATACTTATACTTACATATATACATATACACACACGGACATCTGCATATCCATATATATTCATACGCACATATATATATATTTACACATCCATACGTATACACATATACACATACATACACACACCCATATCTGCATACATACATACATACATACATATACATACACACACATATGCATATGCATACGCAATATGCAGAATATCTACATACCCACATATGCGTTAATTTGCACTTATATATATATATATATATATATATATATATATATATATAAGTCTGTTCCTAGCTATCACATATCCTTATTTTCTGTCATCACTGATGGCAAGGTTATTTTTAGAATGATGACGTATCATCATTATTCTGGATTATAACACAAGTAAGAGGAAGGGAGTTTCACTGTCTGGAAGTGCGAGCAAAAGAAACTATTTGAAGTAAATATTCATTGACCCATGTTTTTGTTTTTGTGTAAAAGTCATGTTGTGTTGGTTTTGTTATTGGAACATAGTTATTATGTGTACAACAGATGTATTATTGATTTCTGTACTAATAAAAAATATATATATATATGTTTTGAAGAAATCATATTTTGTTATTCCAATTACGAAGGGTCCGGTGAATGCACGGATGAAACTTTCGGTGGGTTAGAATGTTCGCTGTCCGACCATAAGACCCGGGTTCGAATCTTACCATTGTCGATTTGTTGTGAAAGTTATTTCTATCTGTTATCGGCCATGTTAGGCAATCCTAGCCTGCGCCACTCTTGGAAATTGCCTGATAAAATTGACGCAAGCCTTGAGAGTGAAATTGGGTAGACAGAATATTTTCGTAGCCGTCGATGTCTGCTCTAGTCATCGGTGACCGACGGTTTGATCCTATTGGACTTCTTCAACGTTCAACTATTTATCACGCCCGATGATGCGGTCTCTCCCAGTACCTATAACTAAGGTCCGCTCAGCTGAGTTGCAGGATAAACTATAGGCGGGTATGCATCTGCGAAAGGGATTGGTTCGTTCTCAAACGTTATATATCAATGGAATGCATCAATGTTCATCATGGTCCGATAGAATCACGTTATCGGGTCACGTGTATTTAAGTATACGTGTGATTAGTTTGCTCTGGGTGTTATTGCAAATACGAGCGGGACAGCTGTCTTCTTTGAAGAATCGGATTTATTGCCGAACGGGATGGCGCCAGGATCAACAGAAGAACGAGAATCAGATTTTATCCCACGTCCGTGGACTGAAAAATAAATTGCATCTGCCATTCTCTCTCAAAGAAAGTTCTTGAATAAAACAGGAAGTCAACTACAACAATAAAAACAAAAAAGCATATTCCAATTATATTTCCACGGTCTTACCGATCAGATGTCGATCACCAGTCGATTACGAATACTTATTTTAATGATGGATGTTTTTTATTAATTTTTTTATTTATTTTATATATTTTTTCTTTTTCCTTTTAGTGTGTTTCGTAACATCTTTTATTGTGTGTGAGTTTCGGACGCTAAAGTGCAATTTAAAACAAAGCCACCAAATTTAGGATTTATTGTCCATGTGAGGATAGATATAAACATAGATAGATAGATAGATAGATTTGAACAGACTGAGATAGATAGATAGATAGATAGATAGATAATATAAAAACTGGGATAGATGACTTTATAATATTATTTTTCTAATACAGGGTCCAAGAACCACTCGAGGTAGAGGGTTATTGAATGAGGTTTTTAGACGGGCGTAAAAAAAGAAAGTAAGAAATCCATATTATGAGGATATGTCAAAGTTTTTATGCTATATATATATATATATATATATCAGTAGTCTATCTATACATCTCAATCTGTTCATATCATTTTCTTTTTTTCACAGTCTGTTCACATATCTATTTATCTATCCCGGCCTGTAAATGTCTATCTATCTCAGTCTGTTCATATTATTCTATCTATCTACTGACCACACTTAACGTTGCTTAACTTCGGTGATCGTACGAGAACCAGCGTTTCAATGTGATGTGACCATAAACCATATCACCCGCACTTTCACACTCACAGCATATGGTATTCCCAAGCGGTCACCCATCTAGGTACTGACCAGGCTCGACGTTGCTTAACTTCGGTGATCGTACGGGAACCAGTGTTTCAATGTCATATGGCCGTAAGCCATACTACCCGCACTCCCAGGATCATAGCGACTAGTATTCCCAAGTGGTCACCCATCTAGATACTGACAAGGCTCTACGTTTCTTAACTTCGGTGATCGTATGGGAAGCGGTGATTCAATTTGATATGGCCGTAAGACCTGTATACCACCCGTACATCCAAGCTTAATGCACTTGGTATTCCCAAGGGGTCACCCATCTAGATACTGACCAGGCTCGACGTTGCTTAACTTCGATGATCGTATGGGAAGCGGTGATTCAATTTGATATGGCCGTAAGACCTGTATACCACCCGTATATCCAAGCTTAATCCACTTGGTATTCCCAAGCGGTCACCCATCTAGATACTGACCAGGCTCGACGTTGCTTAACTTCGATGATCGTATGGGAAGCGGTGATTCAATGTGATATGGCCGTAAGACCTGTATACCACCCGTACATCCAAGCTTAATGCACTTGGTATTCCCAAGCGGTCACCCATCTAGATACTGACCAGGCTCTACGTTGCTTAACTTCGATGATCGTATGGGAAGCGGTGATTCAATGTGATATGGCCGTAAGACCTGTATATACCACCCGTACATCAAGCTTAATGCACTTGGTATTCCCAAGCGGTCACCCATCTAGATACTGACCAGGCTCTACGTTGCTTAACTTCGATGATCGTATGGGAAGCGGTGATTCAATGTGATATGGCCGTAAGACCTGTATACCACCCGTACATCCAAGCTTAATGCACTTGGTATTCCCAAGCGGTCACCCATCTAGATACTGACCAGGCTCTACGTTGCTTAACTTCGATGATCGTATGGGAAGTGGTGATTCAATGTGATATGGCCGTAAGACCTGTATACCACCCGTACATCCAAGCTTAATCCACTTGGTATTCCCAAGCGGTCACCCATCTAGACACTGACCAGGCTCGACGTTGCTTAATTTCGTTGACGTTCGAGAACCAGTGTGTCAACTCGATACGGCCGTCAGCCTTTTGAGCTATATCGATAAATAGATTGGTAAAGTATTTGTTCATAGCAGTTTTGGTCTTCCATATTTATTTAAGAGTTCTCCGGTTTATTGATTGAGGCAGAAGACAAATGATCTCCGAGACAAATCGTAATTCAAAGCTAATCTTTGTTTCCAATTAATTCCAATTCCAGACATTAATAAAATTAAAAGGATTTCCTTTTTTTTTTTCTTTTTTTTTTTTTTTATTCCTTTATCGAAGAAAATCGGCAGAGCAGTTTTTTTTTCTCCTTTGCGTAAATACTGATTTTATCCCAATTGTTTTAGGACAACTTTATAATTATGTTTGTAACGAGAGAAAATTCGTTTTTCAGAATTGGAGTCAGTTTCCCTTGCTTCAAATCTCTTCATCAATATCATTTTTATAATAATGTCGTTTAAATAATTCGTAATGTTCTATAATTTCATCCGACCGGATTAACGTTCGCTTTTTGCAACGACATTAGGCTGAGGATTTAAAGAAACACAAAAGAAATTAAATCAGCATCGCTTTACGACAGTCGTTCAAAAAATTTTCACCTAGAAGGACTTGGTTTGGTTTGGTTTGTTTTACGGCATATCAAACCTAAATGGGTTATTTAATGCCGACAAGATTTTTATTGCTGGTAATATTTTTTTCAAAAATATATTACTGTTAATATTTTTTTCTTCAAATATAATATTTAATTCTTCAAAAATGTATTGCTGGTGATATCATGGATCGAGCGTTTGAGCAACGATGAGATTTTGGAAAAGATACAAACAAGGAGGAGGCTTATAATTTGAACCAACATAAACAAAAAAGAGTACTGAACTGAATTGTAATTTGCAGGTTTTCTTTGTTTCTGTTGCTTCAAGTCTCTTCTTCATCTTTGGGGAGATTGTCCAGCATTCACTGCCATATAGGAGGACAGATATCAAGTAACAGTGCAGTACTCTTTTCTTTGTTTCTGTTGCTTCAAGTCTCTTCTTCATCTTTGAGGAGATTGTCCAGCATTCACTGCCATATAGGAGGACAGATATCACCTAACAGTTCAGTACTATTTTCTTTGTTTCTCTTGCTTCAAGTCTCTTCTTCATCTTTGAGGAGATTGTTCAGCATTCACTGCCATATAGGAGGACAGATATCACGTAACAGTTCAGTCATATTTTCTTTGTTTCTCTTGCTTCAAGTCTCTTCTTCATCTTTGGGGAGATTGTCCAGCATTCACTGCCATATAGGAGGACAGATATCACCTAACAGTTCAGTACTCTTTTCTTTGTTTCTCTTGCTTCAAGTCTCTTCTTCATCTTTGGGGAGATTGTCCAGCATTCACTGCCATATAGGAGGACAGATATCACGTAACAGTTCAGTACTCTTTTCTTTGTTTCTCTTGCTTCAAATCTCTTCTTCATCTTTTTGGGAGATTGTCCAGCATTCACTGCCATATAGGAGGACAGATATCTAACAGTTCAGTACTCTTTTCTTTGTTCAGTACTCTTCTTCTTCTTTGTTTCTCTTATCACGTAACAGTTCAACTCTTTTCTTTGTTTCTCTTCTTCATCTTTGGGGAGATTGTCCAGCATTCACTGCCATATAGGAGGACAGATATCACGTAACAGTTCAGTACTCTTTTCTTTGTTTCTCTTGCTTCAAGTCTCTTCTTCATCTTTGGGGAGATTGTCCAGCATTCACTGCCATATAGGAGGACAGATATCACCTAACAGTTCAGTACTCTTTTCTTTGTTTCTCTTGCTTCAAGTCTCTTCTTCATCTTTGAGGAGATTGTCCAGCATTCACTGCCATATAGGAGGACAGATATCACGTAACAGTTCAGTCATATTTTCTTTGTTTCTCTTGCTTCAAGTCTCTTCTTCATCTTTGGGGAGATTGTCCAGCATTCACTGCCATATAGGAGGACAGATATCACGTAACAGTTCAGTACTCTTTTCTTTGTTTCTCTTGCTTCAAGTCTCTTCTTCATCTTTGAGGATTGTCCAGCATTCACTGCCATATAGGAGGACAGATATCACGTAACAGTTCAGTCATATTTTCTTTGTTTCTCTTGCTACAAGTCTCTTCTTCATCTTTGAGGAGATTGTCCAGCATTCACTGCCATATAGGAGGACAGATATCACGTAACAGTTCAGTCATATTTTCTTTGTTTCTCTTGCTTCAAGTCTCTTCTTCATCTTTGAGGAGATTGTCCAACATTCACTGCCATATAGGAGGACAGATATCACGTAACAGTTCAGTCATATTTTCTTTGTTTCTCTTGCTTCAAGTCTCTTCTTCATCTTTGAGGAGATTGTCCAGCATTCACTGCCATATAGGAGGACAGATATCACGTAACAGTTCAGTCATATTTTCTTTGTTTCTCTTGCTACAAGTCTCTTCTTCATCTTTGAGGAGATTGTCCAGCATTCACTGCCATATAGGAGGACAGATATCACGTAACAGTTCAGTCATATTTTCTTTGTTTCTCTTGCTTCAAGTCTCTTCTTCATCTTTGAGGAGATTGTCCAACATTCACTGCCATATAGGAGGACAGATATCACGTAACAGTTCAGTACTCTTTTCTTTGTTTCTCTTGCTTCAAGTCTCTTCTTCATCTTTGAGGAGATTGTCCAGGATTCACTGCCATATAGGAGGACAGATATCACGTAACAGTTCAGTACTCTTTTCTTTGTTTGTCTTGCTTCAAGTCTCTTCTTCATCTTTGAGGAGATTGTCCAGCATTCACCGCCATATCGGAGGACAGATATCACGTAACAGTTCAGTACTCTTTTCTTTGTTTGTCTTGCTTCAAGTCTCTTCTTCATCTTTGAGGAGATTGTCCAGCATTCACCGCCATATAGGAGGACAGATATCACGTAACAGTTCAGTACTCTTTTCTTTGTTTCTATTGCTTCAAGTCTCTTCTTCATCTTTGGGGAGATTGTCCAGCATTCACTGCCATATAGGAGGACAGATATCACGTAACAGTTCAGTACTGTTTTCTTTGTTTCTCTTGCTTCAAGTCTCTTCTTCATCTTTGAGGAGATTGTCCAGCATTCACTGCCATATAGGAGGACAGATATCACGTAACAGTTCAGTCATATTTTCTTTGTTTCTCTTGCTTCAAGTCTCTTCTTCATCTTTGAGGAGATTGTCCAACATTCACTGCCATATAGGAGGACAGATATCACGTAACAGTTCAGTACTCTTTTCTTTGTTTATCTTGCTTCAAGTCTCTTCTTCATCTTTGAGGAGATTGTCCAACATTCACTGCCATATAGGAGGACAGATATCACGTAACAGTTCAGTACTCTTTTCTTTGTTTGTCTTGCTTCAAGTCTCTTCTTCATCTTTGAGGAGATTGTCCAGCATTCACTGCCATATCGGAGGACAGATATCACGTAACAGTTCAGTACTCTTTTCTTTGTCTCTTCTTCATCTTTTTGTCTTCACCGCCATTCGGAGGACAGATATCACGTAACAGTTCAGTACTCTTTTCTTTGTTTGTCTTGCTTCTTCTTCATCTTTGAGGAGATTGTCCAGCATTCACCGCCATATAGGAGGACAGATATCACGTAACAGTTCAGTACTCTTTTCTTTGTTTCTATTGCTTCAAGTCTCTTCTTCATCTTTGGGGAGATTGTCCAGCATTCACTGCCATATAGGAGGACAGATATCACGTAACAGTTCAGTACTCTTTTTTCTTTGTTTCTATTGCTTCAAGTCTCTTCTTCATCTTTGGGGAGATTGTCCAGCATTCACTGCCATATAGGAGGACAGATATCACGTAACAGTTCAGTACTCTTTTCTTTGTTTCTCTTGCTTCAAGTCTCTTCTTCATCTTTGAGGAGATTGTCCAACATTCACTGCCATATAGGAGGACAGATATCACGTAACAGTTCAGTCATATTTTCTTTGTTTCTCTTGCTTCAAGTCTCTTCTTCATCTTTGAGGAGATTGTCCAGCATTCAGTGCCATATAGGAGGACAGATATCACGTAACAGTTCAGTCATATTTTCTTTGTTTCTCTTGCTTCAAGTCTCTTCTTCATCTTTGAGGAGATTGTCCAGCATTCACTGCCATATAGGAGGACAGATATCACGTAACAGTTCAGTCATATTTTCTTTGTTTCTCTTGCTTCAAGTCTCTTCTTCATCTTTGAGGAGATTGTCCAGCATTCACTGCCATATAGGAGGACAGATATCACGTAACAGTTCAGTCATATTTTCTTTGTTTCTCTTGCTTCAAGTCTCTTCTTCATCTTTGAGGAGATTGTCCAGCATTCACTGCCATATAGGAGGACAGATATCACGTAACAGTTCAGTCATATTTTCTTTGTTTCTCTTGCTTCAAGTCTCTTCTTCATCTTTGAGGAGATTGTCCAACATTCACTGCCATATAGGAGGACAGATATCACGTAACAGTTCAGTACTCTTTTCTTTGTTTCTCTTGCTTCAAGTCTCTTCTTCATCTTTGAGGAGATTGTCCAGGATTCACTGCCATATAGGAGGACAGATATCACGTAACAGTTCAGTACTCTTTTCTTTGTTTCTCTTGCTTCAAGTCTCTTCTTCATCTTTGGAGAGATTGTCCAGCATTCACTGCCATATAGGAGGACAGATATCACGTAACAGTTCAGTACTCTTTTCTTTGTTTCTCTTGCTTCAAGTCTCTTCTTCATCTTTGAGGAGATTGTCCAGGATTCACTGCCATATAGGAGGACAGATATCACGTAACAGTTCAGTACTCTTTTCTTTGTTTGTCTTGCTTCAAGTCTCTTCTTCATCTTTGAGGAGATTGTCCAGCATTCAGTGCCATATAGGAGGACAGATATCACGTAACAGTTCAGTCATATTTTCTTTGT